ACAATGAGAAGTACAAAATGTCATGTCAAAACCAGCTTTACAATGTCGGTGGGGGGGGGGGTATGATTGGGTGGGAGGGAGGGGGGAGGCTGGGAAGGGAGGTGAAGGGTAAACAAAGGAGGAGGCTGCAATGCTTGGTAAGAAATGTATGCATTATCCTGCCCATGTAATTGTAACCCCTCTGTACAGTATGTTCTCAAATAAAATAAAATAAAATTAAAAAAAAAAAAAAAAAAAAGACTTAACTGTCTTTCCCTGTTGAGGAAAGATTCCATGAGGAATTCCATGAAAGACAGCAGAGTGTACATCACAGCTAATCAATAGAAGCAGGATTCCCATGGTGGAAGGTTCAGTCCAGCATTCAGGGGAGTTATAGCCTTGGTGGAGGAGGGGAGACCTGACTGATTCCCTGAGAGCAGCAAGGGAACTCAGGTTGATCACAGCAGAGACTTGACTGTCAAGATCACCAGAGGACAGCAGAGATGGGCTCCCTCTCTGCTCACCACTTGCAGACTGGATGACTTTGAGCTCTGTTTCTCCATCCACAAGTTTAGAATTCAGTACTTCCATCCTATAGTTGACCAGAGGGTTATATCTGATAATGTACACAAAGGGAATTATAGAAAAGCATCTGATACAAACCCTGAGGCACATATATATTTGTGGTACCCAGTAGCAATGAAAAAGAATGAGGTTGAGCTTTATAGACAAGTGTGAGAAGAATTCCCTTATAACATTCTGAATCTTGGTTGATTCTGTGGTGATGTTTCCATTCTCATCTCTGAGTTTATTTATTTGGGTGTGTTCTCTTCTTTTTCTGATAAGATTTGTTAAGGGCCTGTCAATTTTGTTAATTTTTTCAAAGAATCAACTCTTTGCTTTGTTGATTCTTTCTATGGTTTTGGGGGACTCCAATTCTTTCATTCTGACTTAATTTTAATTATTTCTTTCCATCTACTGGATTGAGGTTTAGCTTGCTGCTCTTTTTTAAGGAGGCTCAGATATCTCATTAAATTGCTGGTTTCAGATCTCTCCAATTTGTTGATGTAGGAACTCAGAGCTATAAACTTGCCTCTGAGTACTGCCTTTGCTGTGTCCCAGAGGAGCTGGTAATTTGTGTGTTCATTTTTGTTGAATATCATGAACATTCGAATTTCCTTTCTAATCTCTTCCATAACCCACTGGTGGTTCAACAGTGTGTTGTTCAGCCTCCATGTGTTACAGGATTTTCTTTGGTGGCTTTTGGTGTTGAATTCTAATTTTATTCCCTTGTGGTCTGAGAGAATGCAGGGCATAATTTCAACGTTTCCAAATTTGGACAAATTTGTTTTGACAAGCATAAAAACTACTTCAAGACATATTTCTGAGTTTTTAATATTCTGAGTAAGTGACAAAGCAATATATAGAATATATGAAATCCTTTCCCATTTAAAAACCCAAATAACTACAGCAAAGTTGATGTGTATGTATATGTGTATATAAATCCCTGAGCTCATCATAATTTGCAAAGCAATTAATAAGATGATAAACCTACCAAAGATGCTATGAGCCACCTCATTATTTTGAAAACAAGTAGACAAAGGATAAAATCAATTCCCTATACAAATAAAGTCCCTATACAAACAGTACATGAACATTACCAAATAGTTGCTTAGGAGATGCTTCTTTATATAGCAAAAAAGAAGGAATGAAAATTGACTATAGTATAGCCATTTGAAAATCTCCAAGGAAGTAATAGATATGCTTCTTGACCATGAAAGGAGACCACTATCACAAGAAGAAAGACTTTAGAAATGAAGTAGCAACAGAGAAAAAAACACAAAACCTCCTATGAAGGAACCCTACCAGGTAATCAAATCTGAATGCAGTCATAATATTCAATGTGAACATGGAACTAAATAACCTGAAGGAATGGGTACAGTAGAGAGAGATAGGAGAGAATGAGGAAAGGGCTGATACTGATCAAGATTCCTTGTACTTACACACTGACATGTTGATTGAAACCTCCTGTACAACTACTTAAGGATAAGAAAAAAAATTTAAAAATATGAATCTGGACCTGCCCTCAGAGGTAACCACTGAGCAGCATGTTAGATACAACACCAAGTAAATCTAGTCTATGAAAAACTCTTCAGAGCAAAGCAAAACAAACCCAAAGAAACTGCACAAGAAACAAACAAACACTAAACAAAATATGCCCTGAAGATCAAAAACAATTTTTACAAAGTTCTCTCATTAATATGTTTGGATCACATTACAATCTGACTCATACAAGCAAACTGTTACAAGAAATATTGAAGCCAGGAGAGAAATTGTCATGTAAACTAAATATTGAAAATATTTTTAAAAAACTGTTATTAAATTCGTAGGTTCATATCTAAGACTCGGATCCCAGAGGCAGCCCCTGAGCTAAAGGCTAAAGTTCCAGTGATTTAATAAGGAAGAGATTGAGAAAAACCTGGCAAAGTCAAACACTGGCCTTCCCAAACAATCCAATTAATAAATAGGCAAATGAACTGCATAGACAGTTCTCAGAAGAAGTACAAATAATAAAAAAATACATAAAGATGTTTTATAATCTTTAGCCATAAAGGAAATGTAAATCAAAAGGACACTGAGATTCCATCTCATCCCAATTAGAATGCAATCATGGAGAAAATAAACAACAAATGTGGGCAAGCATGCAGGGAGCTGTTGGGAGCTGTTGGCAGAAATGCAAACTACTGCCATTACAGAAATCAGTATAGACATTCCTCAAAAAATGAATAGAACTATCACATGATCCTCTGGTACCACTCCTCGGTATAACAGTGTAAGTCAGAATATAATAAAGATACCTGCACATACATATTTATAGTAGAATTATTCATAATAACCAAACTATGGAATCCGCCTAGGTGCTCATCAACTGATGGATGGATAAAGAAAATACAGTTACGTATACAATAGCGGATTATTAAACCCTAAAGAAGAATGAGTGGAATTGTGTTGTTTTCAGAACACTTGATGGAATTGAAAATCATGTTAGAATAAACCAAGAAGATAGACATTATATTTTCTCTCATGTGTAAAATCGGAAATAATTTTTAGACACATAAAAGTAAGAAGGGAGCTATTTGATAAGAGGAAGGCAGCAGGATGCAAGCAAAAGAGAAGATTATGAGTGGAAAATATGAATCCATTATTTTGTACACATGATAGATACTAGTGTTTTTTTAATTATTAAGAAGGATGGAGGGCACTGGAAGTTAGGCAAGTATGCGGTCTGAGGCAGTGTCAACCTTAACATGTTCCTAACAAGAGCTATGGAATGAAAATTTTATTTCAGTATCTCCCACTTGAGGCAAAAGTGCTAGATTTCCATAGTCTAGCCCCAGCCCTGTGAGAACCAGACAGCATGGAGAAAATTCAGCTCATGATGTGTATTCTACATCACCCCTCCCAGGAACACAGTCTTGATTTAAATGTGGATAGCCCTGAAATTTCCCCAAAGCCCAGATCTCTTTATACCAATCAACCCCTGGAGCTCACAAAGAGCTCCCTGAAGCACATATATGAATTCAGAGCTGAAAGTGACATTTCTTTAAGTACTTTTAAAAATGGAAAACTTTCTAAAATATATCTTAGCACAGAACTAAGGTTAAGGGACAAGTATATTGAATATATTTCAAACTTTTCTAAATGACTTAAGGAATCCCATATTCTATATATAAGGCAATCTGTGTCTATATTCTATAGAATTCACATTCCAGGAAATACCACAGAAGCCCAGCAGAGACCAAGCATTCTCTGGTCAGAGAGAGAAGTGTGACCTCACCAGGGTTAAGCAGGTATCTTTATGGACATTCTTTTCAGAGTTGTCAACAGGCTTATGGGAACTGCACAGATCTTCCAAGAGGCAAAGTCTCTCACACCAGTATTGAGGCTATTGATTCTAATATGCACACTTGTTTTCACATTTTTAATTTTTTTATGTTTGCCAGTCCTATGGCTTGAACTCAGGCCCTGGGCACTGTCCCTGAGCATTTTGCTCACAGCTAGTATTCTACTGCTTGAGCCACAGCTCCATTCCAGTCTTTTTTTGGTGATCAGAGATAAGAGTCTCATGCCTAGGCTGGCTTTCAACCACAATCCTCAGACCTCAGCCTCTTGAGGAGCTAAGATTATAGGTGTAAGCTACTAGCACCCAGCTATTTTTACATTTTAATGACTGAAATCCAAACCCAACCTAGATAGATACTTTACTAAGACTAAAGGTATATTATGGAAACATGCTCTGTTACAAAGTGGCTTTCACCAGAGTCAGAGGGTCTGTTCTCAGAAGAAAATAGCCACGAACAATATAGTCTATTGGTGCTGGGCATGGAGCAAAAGCCCCAATAGCATGCTTATCACCACCAGAGGTCTGGGAAGCAAGTGACCCCAGCCCGAATGCTCTGGACATCTCCCTCCTCAGCCTTCACCGTCGGGCTCTCTCCAATAAAGACAGTCTCTCAGCATGACCCACAGGGTTGATGACTGCTATAGTTTACATCTGAAGGTGCTAAAGACTTGATACCCATTCTATCAGAGGCAGCAGAATGTTCATAAAGCAGGCCTATTCAGTTATTAGAAAGTTAGGTTACTGAGATCAATCCTTACAAGAAACGATGGGACTTCAGTGGTGTCCTTTTCTGCTGCTTCTCACCCTATCATGAGTAAGCTGTTTGTTCCACCACATACTTCTGCCGTCATGTATTGCCACCAAGCCCAAAGCAACAGGGCCAATCAGTCAAGGACAGAAACCTATGAAACTGAAGCCATAATGAACTTTTTTCTATTTGTAAATTGATTATCCCCAAAATACTAACACTAGGACTTGTAACAGGTAAATTTTCCAATGGTCTGGACTCGCTACTTTGTCAACTGTCCCTTCCTTCTGAGTACATTTTATCATGTTTCACAACTCATTGTTCTTCATTTGCTTCAGGCTGAGTTATATAGATTGTTAGAATAAAGGATAGGCAAGGCTCTGGGGCTTATATCTGTAATTCTAGGAATGATCAGGATCATGGTTTGATGCCAGACCAGATTAAAAAAAAGTTCACAAGATCTCATGTCAAAACAGAAAGCTAGGCATAGTTATAGCACATACCTGTTATCCATCTACTATGGGAAGCATAAATAAAAGTATCATGGTCCAGGCTGGCCCAGACAAAAAGCAGGACCCTGTCTCAAAAATAACCAGAGCAAACAGGCTACAAGCCCAAAAAGTGATAAAGTGCCCACACTGCAAGTTCAAGACCTTGAGTTAATCCCCAGTACAACTAAAAATTAAAAGTTAGGACAAATCAAGATTTGACAGTGAATCAGGATGTTCTAAGTAAAAGGGGTCATGATAAAGGTTCTAGTCTTAATTGGTTCTTAATTGGGCCTCAGAATGTGGCTTGTGGGGCTGTGATGAGACTGGAACCCAGCACTAATCCCTAGTAGCCTTTCAAAGCCATAAGCTTGTTCTTAATTCTAGCAGGTGCTCCTGATGGGGCTGAATGGCAAGCAAATCTAAATGATAGGGAGTTCCAGGGGTAGTTCTGGGAGGAACAGCAGACTCCAGCTGATTAAGAACTAGAAGATTTCCCACAGTGAAGAGCCACTGGGAAACTATGAGGAGAGTTGGGAAGGGGAGTAATCACAGGTGCCTCCAGGGCAGGAGCTGAATGGGAGAGACAGAGAGACAGAGGCTGTATCTGTGGTATGGGCCAGCTTGGTTGATGGTCATTTGAGAGTCTCATAAGGGTCTTACTTCCACCTCTGAAGGTAGTGATCCCAAAGGCAAAGGAGGATCCTGGTAAGTCCCAAGTAGTTCAGCAGGGAGTCAGGAGACAGGGCACATGCCCACTCTGAGCACCTACCCACCAAGAAATCCAGTCTGAATCCTTAGAAGTCCCCTGCTGGCCAAGTTCAACTCCTTTGAAGGACAAGCTCCAGCTGAATGTGGCCAGTTGAAAATCCGTAGGAGAGGGACCAGGTGGGTGAGTACCGTCAGATGCCCTGGAGTAAGTCCTATCCCTGGCTTATCTCTCTGCCCCCATCAGAGGCTCTCTATGGTTCAGGGGCCAGGCTGAGGCTGGCTTCAGTGAGAAGGCACATTCCTGCTTCAAGTTTTCCAGGAACATGACCTCAAAGGTTGGCCTATGCCTGGGGACACTGCTTCATCAAGCCCCTCACGGACCCAGGATGGCATGGGAAGAGTTGTTAGTCCTCCACAGCTTTCCATCAGCCTGATACCCAAAACCAGGAGGAATCCAGCATGAGGATCTGAGCTGTTCTTACAGCTTCAAGGAAGCTATAAAAAGGAAATTGTCTTCCCTGATGGTTCTTAGAAAGTTAGGTTATTGAGATCAATCCTTAAAATAGATGATGAGACCATGATTATGAATCCTTCTTCTGCATCTCACCTGTCCATGAGGTAAACAGTTTGTTCCACCATATACTTGCGCCATGATGGTTACCACAGACCCAAAGCAACAAAACCAACCAGGCATGGACTGAAGCTTATCTCCAGCATAGTCTTACATTAAAGACGACTACATTAAAGACTTATATTAAAGACTTCTTTACCAGGGGCCACTGGTAAAGAAGTAGAAAGCACCCTGCCTTCACCAATCACACAGCTTCAGTCGCTCCTAGCTGCAAGTGGCCCCACCACCCCCTGAGAACCCCAGGCTGCCAGCGTTCAACTGGATGCTAGGGAATTCACTCCAAGAACACAGAGATCCCTAGGCACTTGTAGGGAATACACTCCAAGAACACAGAGATCCCTAGGCACTTGCAGAGAAAGAGTTTGTTTCATATCTTGCCAGGAGAAATATGAATGATGAAAGCTATCTAGAAACATCTTTTAAAATTAACTGCATACATATTCCTCTGGGAATCCTTCTCTCAGAAATAACAGCATCAGCTCAGGAAAATGTTTCCCAGTGGGTCTGAGCAGTGTTAGAAGCCTTCATTATAGTCGTCGCCCTTGTTTCTAGACCTTATTGGCCCTGAGATGTCTGAACAATGATGGTAAAATATTTCCGATTTGGTCTGGCCCAGTGGTGCATACCTAAGCCCAGCATTCTGGAGACTGAAGCAGGAAAATCTCAAACTTCAAAGCTAGTCTGGGCTCCGTAGAAAGACCCTAATTTCAAAGAAAGTGAATTACAGATTTGGAGGAAGGGATGGGACCTCCAAACTAGGAGTCAGGAAGTACAGGTGGTACATCCAGAGAGGATAAGAAGCTCCATGGACTGTGGCTGAAGAGGGCATGAACCAATCAAGGGACAGGAGACAGAGGTTTTCAAGTGGACCCAGGACTTATTTTAATCAAGATATGCAAACATGGTGAGGAGTATCACAAAGTACAAGTTTCTTTATTCACAGGAGGTACCATATAGCATACCACCCAGCATACCATACAAGACCTGGATTGATATGGAGACAGCATAAGGGAAATAAATACAGACATGACCTTTTATGGTGTTTTGTGTGGGAAGGGAGCAGAAGAGGTGGGGTGAATATGCTAGGATTGGCTGCTTTGAATATGAGGCAGGGGCCACTGCTCCAATTGTCTAGTATGTGTCCCAGTGGGAATTATTGGTCCTGAGCATAAGAGTCTGACAGTGACAGAGGAGACTGGAGGCCATTGCCTGTTGAGCCTATGTAACAAAGGTGTGCTGAAAAAGGAGAATCCCTTACCATTTCTAGGAATTGACTAGCCTTGGATGGGAGTCTTTCCTGGGTCAACAAGCCCAGAGGTCAAAACATGGAAGCAAAAAGACATGTCAATGCAGCCAGCCCCTCCCCTGGCTCAAGATGACCACACGGAAGTCTAAAGAAATAAGACAGGCCAACCAATCTGCAGAGATCAAATCGCAGCAGGCTGCTAGGTGCCCAGAGAGCCAGCAAAGAGAGAGGAAACCATGATGGATGCTGGCTAGCTCAGAAAGCACTGAATTGTATATGAGAATCTTGATGGCACACAGAAGGAATGTGGTGCTTTTCCAAAGCCCAAGGGGACAGGCCATTATTTTTTCACCAGAAATATGTTTGTCTGGTCTTATCCTACAGTTAGAAACTTGAGTGTGATGAGTAACAAAGGCTTGGGGGCGGGGCAAGGGGGGGAGGGGGGGAATGAGAGAAGTCAATAAGGGATTGAGATAGTCTTTTCCACTTGTGCCAAAACTGAATTCCAAGGACTTGGGTGGCCTTGAAGACTCTGGTAGGTCAGGGAATGAAACATAATCTGAATGGGACACGTGACTTCTAATGAAGTGTGTGTGTGTGTGTGTGTGTGTGTGTGTGTGTGTGTGTGTGTGTGAGAGAGAGAGAGAGAGAGAGAGAGAGAGAGAGAGGCTATAGCTTTCCCCCCTGTTCCTGTGTAGGGTCTTCATCATGCCTTGCTGAAGGGCAGCTCATAAACAGTGAAAATTTCACTCTCTCCCTCTCTGTCTGTCAGTCTGTCTCCACCCCCGCCCTCACAGTGCTGGTCCTGGGGCTTGAACTAAGGGCTCCAGCACTGTTCTGGAGCTTCCTTTTCTGAGAAAAGATTAGCCCTCTACCCTATGGGGTAGAGGGCTGTAGCCTCACTTCTGGCTTCTTGGTAGTTCATTTAAAATAAGAGTTTCATGGACTTTCCTGCCCGGGCTTAATTCAAACCATGAACCTCAGATCTCTGCCTCCTGACTAGCTTGAGTTACAGGCATGAGCCACTGGTGCCCAGCTATTCCTCTTATTTTAAAGAAGACAAACAGAGCAGAAACATTCTTTTCACAGTACTAGACTTAGAACTTAGACAGAGTTTGTCTTCATCTCAGCCAAAAGCTTGGTCTTTTCTCCAGCCCTTAGACTACTTCCATAGAAAAGATACTGATCTGGTTCTTCTGTTGGGCTGGCATCTGGGATGGTCAAAAAAATGGCAATGGCTCCCTTGGGCTACCAGTAGCCTTATTTCATGTGCACGAGAATCTCTCAGCTGGGAGGGCTGCACATCTGCACACTGTGTCCATCTGTTCCCCAATCCAGCTGGCCAAATCACTTCACTGAGCAGGCAGAGTCCCTGAGGAAAGTCCCTGAGCACAGACAGAGGCAACACTTGGATCCCATTGGCCACTGGGAAATCTCTTTGTATGACCATGTTTTGCCTGAAAAGCCTGGATGTTCCCAGTTCAGTCTGCCTGCCCCATTCTCATCATAAGAGAGGCCTTATGATTCAACACAACTGCTGACCTTCAGCTGCCTGAATTAATATGCTGTATCCACACTAAGACACCATCATTTCTTACCCTTCGGCCACCCCTCTCTCTAGAACACTCTGTACCCACCCCCATCAGAAGGCCTGTATTTCCCAGTATGTTCCTCATCCACCTCTGTGGCCCTACAAACACGCAGATAGATAGCACAGCCTGCCCTTGCTTATTAAAATAAGGGCCAGATGCCTGCCTACCAAACCCATCCTCTCCTCAAAAAGAACAGAGAAACAGAGGCACAGTCCCTGATGCGTAGGAATACTGCTCACCCAAGAGTCAGGACCCAGCTCTGGGATCTCCTCTCTCTTTCCAGTGGGGCTGAATTTAAAAGTCCAAGGTTCTTAAACTTTAAAGAACACCCAAGTCCGGTGGGGAATCCTGTTAAGATATAGATTTGGATGTATAGTTCAAATGATGCTCTCGGCCTAGACTATCTTTGAAGAGCAAAGACTTCAGAACAGAGAGCTCTTTATTGCAAACACATGTGTATCTGCATGTATGCTTATGTGTATGCATGCATGCATATATGTGTATGGCCCATATATATTTAAATATGTATTTGCTAGGACCCGCAATAGCAACGTAAAAGGGAATATTGTCGGAGAATCTGTCTCATTCTGAATTGAACTACCTTACAGAGCTCCAAGTGTTTTCAACTCTTCAAGCTGCAAGTTGTTATCATTTTGCTAACATTAATAAATACATCTAAAAAATGTTATACTTCTACTAAACTCAAGAGGTA